AACACAACAAAAGACCTACTTTTATTAGAAATATTTTTGAAATAAATAAATAAATTTGTTCTATTTCACAAATATTTGAATATATCTAACATAAACTATCAAGTTCAAGATTATTTAATGTGACATATTTATACAAAAAATAAAAAGTGGTATACAATTTTTCATGTTTATTCTTGGTATATAAAAGCCTAAACGACGTATAAAAAAAAAAAATACTTAGAAGTGTGATTTATTTAAAGAGTTAAGAGGCATTTATAAAAATATTTAGACAAATATAACTTAAAGAGACTTGTACAATAATATTTAGATTACAATATATATATATATAGTTAAGTTATTTTTGTCACATCATTTCAAGTATCACACCTACAATGTGCAATAGATGACACCTTTTTAGGGGCAAACAATAAAAAACAACTTATAACTTTTACCATTTATCAATAGTGTAAATTTTATTGCACATGTTAGAAAAAATTCTAGGCATATCTTAGTGAGATGTCAAGGAATTATTTTTCATGTTATATAAATATTAAAGTTACTGCTAATTTATATAGTCTTTTGAAATGACTTTTTGATAATTAAATTTCAGTATCGTGAACTTTGTATTTTCTTGTATTAAGCTTATTATATTTTTAAATATCAGATACTATACAAGATGGAGTTAAAGATTATTTTATTCAAAAATGATATCGTCTACCTAAGAGGTGATACTCCAAATGATATAAAAAAGATAATTTCAGACAATGAATATGATTCTGAATGAGTTTTATTTTTAGAAATTATTTTCAAATTAGTCCTATATCTTTTTTTTTTCAAAGAAAGAAGCTATTAAACGTAGCTTTGTTATTTTTGGGTGACTAATATAATCTTTGGGTGTTTTCATTTCCTTTAGACACACGAAGATAATATATGTACTTGATTTCAAGCTTTTTGTAAATAAAATGAAATAAAAAATTAACACAAATGTGATGTTCTAAAGTAATGTCTCTTTAGATGAACTTGTCTTTAATTGGTCACATGTCTTGAAGAGTCCTCCATGTACAAGTTAAGACTTTGTTAGGAACTTATTTTAACTAAAACAATTTGAAAAAACAATTGTCAACATTAGATGTCTATTAGTGTAGGCTTTCATACATGTTTGATCAGATATATATACTTTACATTATCCATCTTCTACCTCCAAGAATCAAGGTAAAATTAGTTAATTAGTTAACTAAAACACCTCCGTATCTACCTTCTCTCATTAAAAGAGACTCCTTTGCCAAGATAGTTTCCAAACCCACCTTCCCTCCACCCATTGTCCCACGTTTTAGAAATGAAAAAAGAAAAAGAGAGAAATATGATAATCTTACAAAAATACACAAATCTTTTCTTCCCATAATTTCACTTACTTTTCTTCACCTACATCACTCTACTCCTCTCCCAAACCACCTTTTTCAATAACCTTTGTATATATCTGTCTAAATCTCTTCACCATAAAGAGTTTTTTTTTTATTTTTAATCTCAACAAATTTCAAAAATTATCTTTTTGTTCACATCTTGATTTAAGATAATCAATCTTACACCACAAACGCTCCCTTTTTAACAAAAAATCTCCACCTCTACTTTTCCAAACAAAACTATTTATCCTTGTAACTTATATTAATATAATATATTTTAAAATAACAAAATAGTATATCATTACATCATTTGTTAAGTTTATATATTAAGAGATAAGAAATAACCTTAGAATAATAAAAATATTAATTGATAGAAATAGCTGCAAGTAGAAACTAATTCTGAATCTAAATGTTGTATTATTAAATGATGTGAAAAGAGAGTTAACAAGCTTATATCAAATTAAGCTGTCAATATTAAATGTCAATAAAGTTGAAAAAATGAGAACAAATAGATAAGTAGAATAAAATATAAAAAAATGTTAACCTAATTCCCTATGATAATATTTTTAATATGAAATATTAATTTTTGATAAACTTGAAAAAGAGAGAGCAATAGATAAGTTGAAAGATAAATTAAAAAAATTGCTAACTTAGTTAGTTCTGATATGTTTATCTAGAGTTTATAAATAATCTACAAATTATCATCGCAAATATATAATATAACAAATTACAAGAATTACACGTATTATATTATATATGAGATTCATATGGCATTAAACTAATGCCTCTTTCTTTTTCTATAAGGATATAATTTGTTGAGTGTGAAATGAATATTTTCCATGAAGAGGAGCCAAAAAAACGTAGAAAAAGAAAAACGAAAAAGATGGAGGGTTGAAAATTGTTGGGCAAAGACGGAGAAAAAGAAAGGAATTACATTAATGAATTAGACAGGTGAAGTGAGAAGCTATACAAACATTTGAAGACAATATTCATAATTTGCCACTTCATATTTGGATTGTAGAAATTTATTTAAAACAATTATAAGTAATTAATAATAAATGTGATAAACACAAAATTTCCCCTTCTTTTATTCAGTCATAAAGGGGTAGTGTGGAATTAGGTTCTGATAGTCATTAATATTACTCAGACAAATAACACCTTTTGGAGTCAATTTTCCTTAGATCCAACCATACTTCAACGTTAGCATGTCCAAAACCTTCATATATTTGTCAGTGATCCGTTGAATTTAAGAAATGTTAATCACATTGTCTTGAATATATATATTTTTAATAAAAAAAATATTTAAATGATGAATGAGAATTAGTAGATCAATTTTATTATTAACCTTAAAAATTAAGTTATTTTTATACTATACTTTTTTCTCTGAATATTTAAGATAGTTTCGTTCCTTATTATTATAATTTGATATTATAGATCAAACTGTAACAATTTCTTGTCATTGATTTGTACGCTAACTGATTATTCATTAATTTTTAATATAATCTTTACTTTTTATTAAAAAAATATTAGTTTTATATATTTTAAAATTCAATCCTAATTTTAAAAATTAAAGTCAACAAAATTGTTATTAGATAAAAAATAAAGTCTAAAATATGTATCATGTCTTTTACATACACATAGAGATAGTGTAATTGCATTTTTCTCCTTTTATTTGAATTTAGTGATTTTAGTCTCTTAATTTTGTTTTAGCTAATTAAATTATTTTATTTTTAAAATTACATAAATTTTATTTCTTGTTAATTTTCTAAAATTTTATTTTTTCTCCAAAGTATTTAAGATTTGTAATAGAATTGAAACGATGAAATAATTTCAAAATTTGAGAAAAAAAATAGAAATAACTTCATAAAACATTAAATATTTTATATATGTGAGATTAAGATTTTAAGAGAAAAATTAAGATCTTAAGAGGAAAATAGTTGATAATTTTGTTTAAGTTTAATATTTTGGTTGGTTAATTTTAAGTATCGTTTTAATATATGTAAAGGTTTAGAGAGAGAGAAAATTGAGAATATATAAGCTTTATGTACACAAAAAATTATAATCAGGGACTAAATTTGTTAAATTTCAAAAGTATAAATGCTAATTAATGCAAGAAATAAAAATTGAGAAAATAATTTCATTCACTGTTTCATATAAATATTTCGTCAATCTAATTTATGTGGCACCTTTATTCCCTCGATAATTGAAGGTTAAATCCTTTCATTTTCCATCAAAACTTTTACGACAAACACATTAATTCTTAATATTTTTCTTATTCTTAAGTTTTTTCTAGTTATTTTTACGTATTTATGTATTTTTTTTATAATATAGGAATTTATGTATTCAATAGTTAAATATATAATTAACATTCATATTTTTATATTTTACGTTTTACTATAATTAATGGTCATTTAGATAATAAGAATAAGGTCTTCTTCATTTTTTTAATATATTTTCCAATGAGATTTTGTTTGTTTATAAATACACGCTAACGTCTGGAAAAGTATTATATTTTTCTTGTTCAAAATATTTAGTATAACATATATTTTGAAAATTTACAATTTTTGGGTTTTAAATTAGAAGGAGCAATAGGTTCTAGCTCGTTATTGAATCGATCGATGCTTACAGAGAAGTTTATTTTATTTGACCATCTCTTTCGTTGAGGTGTGAGGTAGAAACACCCTGCTAGGAGTAGAATTAAATATAACTATGACAATGCATATTAACGTTTTTATTTAAATAATTTATCTATTTATTTTGTCAAAATTTTAAAGTATTTTTTTTTATTAAATTTACTACCGTTGTATAATTCTTTTATCTCTATAGTTTTGGCGTTCCTTTATACGATTTCCAACACTTTTATAGCAAATTAGAGACTTACACTTATTTTGTATGGATGATCTGATGACAAATTTCCTCCTTATTTTTAAATTAAGCTGTTAATTGAATAATATACGTGCCCGTTTAGTTTACAGTTAAATAAAAGTAATATGAAGCAGTTAAACATAATTAACATACATATATAAATTAATTAAAATTATATGTATTTTAGAATAAAGCACAAGCATTATTGTTTTAACTTTTAAACAAATGAATCCTATGATGTCAATTACAGTGTAGAAGGATGATTTCCCAGTTATATCTCCACCAGTTTCCATTCCAAAGTCGTTTGTTTATCGATCAAGACTGCTTTATTTTCTTCTTCTACTATTCTGCTATTACTTTTAGTTTTAGCATAATCTTCTAATCCAAGTTTAAGCCGCGTAAGACCCACACGAAAGTGAGAAAATTGCATTTGTCAACTTATGCGCACGCAGCATAATTAGCACGCCATGTACATGCTCAATTGCTAAGCACACAATCACACTAGAACCCGCATCATCCCTCCTTTACTTCCCAATTTTGTCGCCAAAAAAGCTGCAAATCGTAAAATAAGAAGAGAGATACATGTCTTCTTTCTCTATTTTATTTATACTTCCTCTAATTAAAAATAACAATATACTGATATATTCTTTATTTGTCGCTGTTTTTGTTGTGTCTTTCTTTTAATTGAACAAGTAAGAGAGAGACAGATGTGGACCAAGAAAAGAGAAAGGACCAATAAAAGAGAAAGGACCAATAAAGAGAAATTATATACTCATAATATATTGTATACTTTATCAATTAAGAAACCCACCCACTAAGATGAAGCCGAAAATTAATCCATATCCTTTTCGTCAGCTTAATTCATACAAATTCCACTCGCATACCATTTCAAATACAAACTAACCCCACCATAAATTTCTTAAAAGTCCATAACAAATAGAAGAAACATTCAATCTGAACGAGAGAAAAAAATCAGAAAATTTACATAAAAAGAATAAATACATCTCATCGGCATTACTTACAAGATACCCGGCCCAAAAACAGACAAAACAAAGAGAAACACCAGATTGAAGTAATGACTAATAAAGCACGAGGCATAAAAATAAATCGATTAAAAAAAGAAAAAGGGAAATATAATTAATGATTGTTTAATTAATTATGGTTGAAAAATAAGAATCAAAATGGGCGCAAATTCCGACCAAGGCCATTGACATTGGCGAAAAGTCCAACCAATTCTGGTCTGTAAGGTAAGAAAGACTTCCTCTTGTTGTGGTCTCCGTGTTCCTTACCCACCGTTCCCACGGTTCTGCTTTTAGCCTCTTTATTGGTCGGAATCTGAAACACCACTTGTTGCTTGTCCTTTCCATCGCTATGGCTCCTCAGAAGCAAATCTCGCAGCTTCCACCGCTTCGAAGCAGAACCTGTGGAGCTACTCTTCTTTCGCTCCCTCCCAACCGAATTTGGGGTCCATGCGCAGTATGTCCCTTCCGCCACACCCTCCAGGTCAACACTCTCGTCTGTTGAAGACGAACACGACGCCGTTTCGCCTTCCTCGAACATTAGTTTCCTCAGGGGAAGACGACGCCGTCTCGTCGTCGCATCGTTTTTATTATTCGGAGCGGTGTCGTTTGGGGGAGCGGGTGCGTCGAAGAGGAGGTTGCGGTCGAAGATTGGGTACATGGGTCTGATCTGGCCGTTGTAGAAAATGTCGTCAGCCGAGACGGGAGAAGATAAGTCTCTGGGAACGAAGGAGAACTCGAAATCGTCGTTTTCGGGTTGGTCGTCGTCGTTTGGAGCAGGGAAGCTGTGGTCGTCGTTTTGCCATGCAGGGAAAAGCGCGTCGTCTTCGTCGGTGACGGAATGAGGGTCTCTGCGGAGCTCTTCGATGACTCTGGCTGCGATTTCGGCGAGTGTTTCAGAAGAGTAGCTGCTAAAACTTGGAGAAGGCGATGGCTTACTATGAGAAGAAAAAGAAGAAGGTTCTTCTCCCTCTAGCTGTTTCTGCTGCTGCATCGTTTGGACCTCAATCATACAACGCCTTTCGTTTCCACTTTCGAACTGCGATTCCTTTCCGCTTTCCTTTCGCAGCAATTGAGAGAGAGAGAGAGAGAGAGAGAGAGAGAGAGAGGGTTTGGTTGAAAATAAGGAAAGTGTGTGGAGAGGTTCTGGCGTGGGATATATAGTAATGTGATCGGTCCTGCGCTGGTCTACAAAAGATTTTTCTTTTCCAAATATATTTTATTTTTCTATGGATATTGATTATTCAATAATAAATCATGCTTTCTTATAAGTAAGTATCTTCAAGATATTATCTAAGAAATTAAAGATATCATTTTTTTAATAATATATTTTTTACTTTTTAAATATGTATTTTAAATATAGTATTAAAAATTTAATGCATTATAATATTATTTTAAACATTATAATATTTAATATAATTAATGTATTAAATTTTGTGATATCGTATTTTTTAATAGAATTTTATTGTATAATTTAAAAATAACATTTTAATTATAATTTTATTACTTAACAAACAAGAAAATCCATGTGAAAACTGAAAATGCGCATAAAAGAAAGTTAAATGAGGAATTAACGAATTGGGTAAGGTTGGGTAAAGTCTGGTGTGTGTGAGCCCAATAAATCGGCTGGCTACTTCCATGCTCCAATGGAACTTTCCCTTTCTTTTTTTTTTTTTTTTTGAGGAGATGTGGACGATTTTTCGTTTGCTTCATTGACACGTATCACGTGTTATGATTTGACACGTGGAATGTAACAGGGTTCATGCGCATTTCTTTGACATATGTACGCAGGTAGGTAGTTGTTCTGCAGTCTGTACCTCTATTAGTTTCTAGAATAAAACGGTGGATAAAATTTATGATGTTTTTATTCAAAATAAAACGGGAAGAAAATAGGATAAAAATAAAGTAAAAAAAAAATTATTATTTAGATGGATAGAATAAAAATAAGAGTCAAACAAATAAAAAAATTATGTTTATTTTTATAAAATTATAAGTATTTTATATTAAAGACAATTATAGAAAATGAAATTGTACTATGAAAATTTCTCTTTCTAAATATGTCACTTATTTTGATGGATAAAAAAGATAATAAAAAGTATTGAGTAAATTATAACATAATAATTATAAAGAATTACTATAAAATTTTTAAATAATAACAAATATTATAAAATTTAAAATATTGTTTACAATATATAAATTTATTTTAAAGAATAAAATTTTTGGTGCTTCTCACCCATGATCGAAAGATACTACTCTATTTCATCCATTTACTGAATGGAAATTTATTTTAGTGGGTCAGACAGAAATTAGCAAATTTGAGCTGGTGATTACAGATGAAATAAACCACTGAAATGGCATGAAATATATAATTTCCTCTTCTTCCATTTCCATTATTGTCATTTTAACCATACCAAATAAAGCTAACAAACAAAACATGAATGATGAAATAAATCATGGTTAAAATTTAAAGCTGGTTTTTTTATATAAATTTTTAAGGAAAGAAAATAATGTCCATTTCAAGGTAAAAAAATTATTATATTCAAAAAAATGTTCTATCATAGACTTGTATTTATCTCACTTCCATGAGATTCAAATTTAAAGTAAACTTCGGTGTTCAAAAATAACTCTCCTCTTTCTATAAATAAATTATTTATTTATTAAAATTAATAAAAAAATTTAATGTGTGTCTTAAAACACATACTAAAAAATATTAAATAAATGTTATTAAATATTTTAAATTACAATAAAAACATATATTGACTATTATTTTATGATTTTAAGATAATCAACATATTTAATTTTGATATTTTTTAAAAAATTTAACACGTTAAAAAAATTACAATAGAACATAGTGGTATGCTATATAATTTTTTCAACTTTAATATTTAAGGTTAAAGTCAAATATTTAAAATAATAATTTCTTATTAAAAATATATTTATTATATTAAAATTATAAAAAAATAATAAAAATTTATATTCAAATATTATTAATTTCTTAAATTAACCTTTAAGATTAAAGGTCAATACTTTTTATTTTATAAAGTTTTAGTTTTTTTTAAAGAGCACATGTTAAAAAAAAAAAATTAACCTCAACTCTTCAACTTCAACTCAAGCCACTTATATTGTATCATTTTTATTAAAAAATATATTATTTATCACACTCGTATATCTTTAAAATATAAAAAAATAAGAGTGTAAATGTTATATCTTCATTGATATCAACATTATGTTATGTTATATGAATTAAGTTTATAATAATAAAAAAAACATGATGTACGAAATTATTATTTATTAATTATAAATTTAATAAAATATAATTTATGATTGTATACGCTTAGTCACATATTAAAAAATGTGTACTTATTATTAAAAAAGATTTAAAAAATTGTAGGAACGGGGAGTAATGAATGGCATGAGATAATTATGGGGTTGCAGGTGGTTGATGATATTGATGATTGATTAAGCATTGAGCGATGTGGGGTCTCATTGGAACGGGAAACACTTACATAACGTAGAGTCTAATGGGTGGGGGTAGAAGGGCGGTGGCGGGTATCTATGAACTATGATCCCATTATGTTCCTTCTTCAAACCGCGAAGCAAAAGCCAATGACGTTCACGGATTTTGAGCACCTAGACGTGTGAATCTCATCAACTCCAATATAATCCTTTTCTTCACTCACTATTTTCCTGCCACATAACACACTCGATAATGACCATGAACGTGTGTGCAAGGTAAAGCATCATCACAGCTAGCCTCCACACAAATATAATGCGACGTAAACCATCTTCACAATCACAATTAATTTCTGATATTTCTCGCAAAAAGACAAGTCCTTTCCTCACCGTAACAAGCTTTTTCGCTTTCTCATTCAACAACATTATTCCTTTTTTTTTCCTTTCTTTGCCAGCAATTGTGTCGTACGTGGATTTTTTAGTTTTTTCGTCGGTCGATAACTCAAATCACTTCTCTCAGTTTTCTCAATTAAATTGCCCAATAAAAAAATAAAAATATTAGCTTGAATATTTCCGCAGAGGTTGGAAAAGGACCAATAAAATTAGAAAAATGGGTATTTATTAACAATTTAGAAATAAAACTTATGAATGTTTTTTAGTGACACACATTTATTATTATTGTTTTATTTAAATATTAAACCATTCTTTTAAGACATTTACTAGTAAGACACGTCAATTTATTAACTTAAACATTTCAATAAATAATTGTATTCATCTTTCGTGGATGGAAAGAAAAGAAGGCTCCAATTCACCATTTATAGTAAACAAGACTTCTTTCTCCAGTACCCTGTCTAGTTATGTTAGGTTGGTTGTTCAAATATAAAAGAAAATAAATTTTAATATGCTATACACAACAGTTAGTGCTTGATGTTTCTTACAAGCTGAAGCTGGCGAGTTATTAAACCTAAACTGATCTTGCATTTCTTTTCTAATGTGACACCAGCAAACATTCTGGGACTTATTTTTACAAGAAATATATATTAAGTTGGGCATTTATTGTAATTAACGTGTTCTACAAGTAAAACAAGGTCAACTAATAGAGACTTGAGTAAGATTTTCAAACCCAATAAAAAAACACAAGTTGACATGTTTCTGGAAGAAATGTTGAAGTAATAATATATTTGATTATTTGTAGAATGAATAGGAAGCAAGTATTTGAGTTTTGGCATGTGGGGAAGGAGGAGGAAGTTGACAAATACAAGCACTTTGTTCACATTTAGTTTGAGAAGAATAATTCAAAAGCGTTATAATTCTCTGGTTTAGGTGTCTAATAACGTGTGACAGAGAAATCAAAGAAAGTGGCTTCTTAACCCAAACAAGAAGTGTGATATGAGGGGTCGAGGTGGATAGCACTGCTTCTGTGGGCTTGCAGTGGTGTGTGATGCTAACAACCCACATTGGCTATTTTGTCAGATGATGACGTGGCGTAATATGATTGGGTGACAACCTCATCGTTGTCCTTGATGTCATTTTGTCATGCCAAGGTGATTTCAACCATGCATTACATTTATGAATTATGATTATGGGGATTAATGAATTTACTTGAGAAAAAGCATGGGGCAAAGGATAAGCTTATTTATTGGTCACGCTTAATTGAATTGGTAAAACTTGTGATGAATCAACATCTGCACCTTTCGTAACAACCTGTGCAAAATAAATCCTTCATTTAAAGAATTATAATACGGAAACCCAAGCCCTATGATACATCATTCATTACATTTTTATTGCTTTACTTCATTATATGACGGCATGCCATAGATTAAACTTTCTGAATAAGTAAAGGGCGCTGAGAATCAATGCCAATCAACAAATAACGTGATTTTTTTTTACCCATAACCCTCCATCATTCAAAACAATAATATATGTATATAGCTTGAGGTGCCAAGAAAAAAAGGCATTTTGTAGCACTTCAAATGCAAAGTTTCCATTTTTTTTCTATTTTGGATTTTATTAATAGGAAAATAATTATTCTACATTCACACAGTGTATATACACATTGAGAGATAATTAAAAAGAAAAAAAAAGTGACGGATAATGTTATATAATATAGAAAGAAAAAATATTATATATAAATACTGTGCACGGCTGTGAATATTAATATAACATTATAAATACTAACATATACAACTAACAAGGGTCAATACCGTTAGTCCTTTAAACAAGTTGATCATACTTTAATTTTCAATGGTCTTTTCGCCTTAAAGAAATTGTTCCGAACCAACTCAAGGTCCAAGCCCAAATTTGGTTATGGGCCAACTTATCTGCTCAAAAACCAAGAACGATTTACATTTCTATCATGTCATACAAACATTTTGAAGTAGACCAGAACAAAACAAGAAAGAAACGTCATGGAATGTTGACAAAAAAAAAATTGTTATGAAATATGTAAAAAAAATGTTGACACACTTTTATACTTATTTTGTATATTACAGACGAATTTTTCTGTCTATAAGTGCATTAATTAAATGTAGCATTTTATTAATTTACTTATGGACCAAAATATCTGTATGTAATTCCATTTATGGAATATTTCATGTATGCAGTTACAAACGAATTTGCCGTCTGTAATTTTCACATAATATTTCTCGCCTTAGTTTCAAATTACAGACAAAAAAA